TTTATCAGGAAACATACCAATATTTTTGACCATATATGTAATAGTTCAAAATTTGTTATTGTGGTACAATTTACTTCTCTCGATCTCTAGTATCGGGCCACCTCGATTATCACGTGGCGCACATTTTTTTCGCCATCACTTTGTTACTCTAAAGCTAAAGAGAGCAACCGTTTAAGGGGCAAATGTATCGTTCTTGACCTGTATGACGTTGTGATTAAAGTTGGATAATTTTAGATGCACCAATCAGATTTCTTCTAATAGTCACCTGAGATCTTGTATAAAATTACGCGCCAAGAATTATCGCGTTCGACCATCGACGTTACGCGCAATATTTTTTACAATGACTAAACTATCAAAGTGGCTCAAAGGAAATCTCAAGGATAACGTTAAGGAAACATTTGAAGCGACTATCGAACATCTGCTTAAGTTAAAACCTCCCGTAAAAAAAGGCAATAAAAGACAGGCCTTGATGTCTTCATTACAAGCTTTGATGAAAAATGACGAATCCGTACGTGAAGAATACGAATCTCTAAATGCGTGGGTTAACGTTAATAATTCTGAGAAAGAGAAGAAGGAGAAAAATTTAAAGGTTATTGATAAAGAACACCAAGCTATGTTCAAAAAAGCTCGTGTTGTTCAGTACAATATCTCTTATGGAGCAGGTTCCACAAATTCAAACAATATCGCAAGTGAACATGAAGTTTCTACAGACATTAAAGAAGCTCAGGAAATAAATCCACTAAATGGACAGAAAGTAAAAGAAGAGAAGGAGGACGACTTATTATCACGAATTCCGCATAAGTTTTCATTCTCGGCATCCAAACAAGGTTCTTATGTGGAACCAATTTTAGAGCATGTCGAGAAAGCGCTTTTCAGATTTGTTGTAAAGAATCGGGACTACATTCCTTCTGACACAGTAAAAGAATTCGCACTTAAATGCAACCCCCCGCGAAATATTGATTTTTCGGATGCAGACATATTGTGTCTTTTAAACTTCATTACGAAACATATTTCCTTGTTTATGATTCCGCATTCCGACCAAACGCTGTTTTATGGCGAATATAAATTAAAACCTTTAGATGTTCTTCAATCTTTTAAAATTGAGGCGAGGAACCACCATGCGCACGGTATAACAAAATCCAAAGGAAAATGGAACGATGAAAAATTACAAAGGCTCTCAACCTTAGCATTAGAGTTGGTCGATTGTCTTGGTAAGTTTTATAATAGATATCATTTATACAGTATTTTAAATATTTATGTGTTATCTATTGAAATATAATAGGTGATGAGGATGCATTTGAGTCGTTGTTGGTGATAAAACGGAATCTGAGTTCTGAACTCACGGAACAATATGTTTTACCAATGAAGAGAAGACACGAAAACAATGAGGATGAAATCCAAGAGAGAAAGAGACACATGGCCGATGAAGAACTCGGAGAGTTAATTGATTTCGCTCTAAACATAGTAAATAAACTTGAGCCAGAAAATAAAGAACATTTAAACCAAATTGTGCGACTTGCAGTAGATAAAAACGAAGCATTTATAAATATTTGGCGAGCTTTAGTTACCTCAAAAGATGAAAGTGCGAAAATTCGAAAGTTCATTTCTTTAATGAATATCCGCTTTAATATGGTAAGTATTTCAAACATATATTGAATGCTCGGTATGATATACAACAGTTTAACTGATTGCACATTTTTATGTCTAACAGAATCTAAAGAACAAGATTGGAACAATTTAAGTTTTTTTCTATACGGTATATTAACGTGGTGGGGACGTTGGCAATATAAATTTCTATATCAGTCTTATGGAATAAGAATGTTTTTGCATCTAAATTTTATAGACATTGACATATTTCTATGTATTTTACATATTAAATTCCGATAGCATTATAAAAATGTGATGATTTACTTTTATGCCTTCACAGTACAAATAAAAAAATGCATATGCATTATAAGATATACATATTAAACATTTGTCTGTGGTTAGATATTAATGTGAACGGTAAAATGTTCACGTGACTTTGCGCTACCGAAATTAGAATTGCAAGTATTTCGAATTTCGGAATTCTAATACTTGTAGCACAAATTTAATCATATAGATTTTATTGGATATTAATTAGCTGCGGAGTCAGAAATTAGTTCTCAAAACGCTTAAATACGACTGCTCCCAGCATGCTTTTTGCATCTGGTCTTGATGACTTGAAAACAACTAAATAAATAAATTTCTAACTCTTAACACCAATAACTTTCCAATTGTTTTTGTCGGAATCACCAACTACACTACTCTATGTCCCCAACGCCCGAGTCACAAAGTCGTTACCGGCAGTAATGTTTTCAAGCTTGCCCGCACTTCTTCCTCTTCCCCTTCAAAGTTCTCTAATCTCTCAGCTGCAAAAGACGACCTTTGATTTCACCACATAATGATGCGTTAGGGAAAAAAGCAGCTAGTTTATCTTTCGCCTGTTTCCAGAGGTCTTCGCTCATTGCGTTGGAAGAGAGTGATTTTTTTTGCCCGTTTCATACGCGTTTATATTTTGCTGCGCATCATGGGCATGTCATGCATGCACCAACCATATTGTCACCTGTGAAACCTGCATACTGCAGTACGTAGCCGCAGTTTGAATATCCTTAAATATAAAACCAAATATGGTATCAAATCATCAAAGGTATTGTTGTCCTGAAATTTTACGACACACAAAAAACCCCATGTTAATGTATGGTCCAGATACTAATACTAAGAAATTATTTTTCGATTTGAATGTTTTCTTATCCTCATTGTAAGTGGCGACAAAAATCCCCTTACCCGAGGTAAATCTTTCATCACCAAAAATTGCTACTTAGCTAGTTTATATGCGAGAGCGTATGGCAAACCCGTATATTTTCTTCAATTTAAGAACAACAATTACACATATGGAGTAGTAGGAATACCAAGATTCCTGCTTATACCTTAAGAAAATCATCCTCATTCATACTCTCGCGTTCTTTTTTCCATTGTCTCGCGACATTTGGAGTTTTTGCCTTGGTGCTTTCTATTTAAATTAGAGAGGTATCTGAAATGCTTTTTCAATTTGGGCATAATAATAGGGATTAGCGGTTTCACAACTATACTAATACTAATACTGGGAATGGATCATTAATAATGTATTTCAGAGTATAAAGGCTACTCGTTTATTACGAAAGAGTTGGATCACGTTGAACGAACAATGCACACCGGAAATTACGCCGTTATGATCTTTCGAAATCTAATTTTAGCAACGCCTATTAATTCAGTATATTATTGTACTGCAGCTCTTACAGCTCTTGTTGCCGCGGCAACAGATAATCAAATATTCTCTGTAATAGTAACACCTTAATGCCGAAAATTTACGTCATATTCACCGCTTTTTTTCGTGAGAGATTATCGTAATGTAGAATCTGTATTACTATGATAATCAGTTTTTTTAGACAACATATTTCAAAACAAACTACTTTAGTATACAATACATTCAAAGAAGTTTTTACTATGATTAATGACATAACCGCAATAGATGAGACAACAAGAGAACGCCTAAAAAGATGGAAAACCCGTTTAGAGAATCTAATTGAAATCCAACTACCGACAGACTATTCCCGTCCTATTCCTCCAAAAGTAGTAGATGCTGTCCAAACGTTAAGTCTTCCAGATTCAACCGCGCTGGCCGTTCTCCAATTATCTCTGGGCAATGGTTCCTCCACCAATCAACCATCCCCATTCACTATACTATTATCGGCATTCACTCTACTTATACACAGATACACGGGGGATGAAGATATTACTGTTGGTTCCTCGTCAGACTCGCGCAATCCACTTGTCCTCCGAATTCCAGTAACATCGAGTGATACTTTTGAACGCTTGATACAGAGAGTACAACAAGTGGAATTGGAAGCGTCAGCTGATGAAGTGCCGTTTTCGCTTTTATTATCAACACTTTATCCCGGGCATACTTCCTCTTCTGTTGTTGACAATTCATCTCATAAAACGTATCCACCTCTATTTAAAGTACGCTTCTTCAATCAGAGTGATACGCCGGACAATCATCTACTCCAAGCAACTTCAACTACAACCGATATAACAATATTCATTACTTCTCACGCATCACCTTCACTAAGACAGACTCTACTTCCTAAAATAGAACTCCGCATATCATACAATCAACTTCTATTTTCTTCCTCACGCATACATCATATTCTTGATCAATTAATCTTTGTAATTGATTACGCTCATCACAACAAGCAGACGCCAATCTCGGAAACTCCCCTCGTCACGGACAAATGTCGGGCAGTTTTGCCTGATCCTGTTTGTGATTTGCGATGGGATAAGTTTAGAGGAGCGATTACTGACATATTTGCTGAAAACGCTAAGAAATTTCCAAAGAAGACATGCGTTGTGGAGTCTATCGAGGGGAGCGAGAAGAAGAGAACTTTTACTTATGAGGGGATATGTAAAGCTTCTAATTTGGTAGCACAGTATTTGTTACATAAGGGAGTCGAAAGAGAGGATGTTGTTATGGTATATGCATATAGAGGTGTAGACTTGGTTGTTGCTATTATGGGAGTACTTAAAGCAGGGGCTACGTTTAGTGTTATTGGTGAGTATTAGAAGAACAGGAGCTAGGGGTAAGGAAGAAGAGGCAAGCAATAACTGATAGAACATAGAATGAATGTGAATAAATGGCGTAAGGGTAAAGTAAAGAATGCATATAGTAATAATATACTATTGTATAACCATCATAGACCCGGCCTACCCACCAGATCGGCAGAATATCTATCTACAAGTAGCGCAACCACGCGCCATTATATTTCTCAAACATGCAGGCGTCATTCATCCGACAGTATGCACATACATCACTACTAATCTCAATCTCAAGTGTGAAATACCGGCATTAGAAATCACTGAAGATGCGTACTTAAAAGGAGGAACACATGCGAACGGTGGAGACGTTTTGGATGTAGTAAGAGGGCGAGAAGAAGATGATGTTGGAATTCTTATTGGGCCGGATAGCATTGGGACGCTAAGCTTTACAAGCGGAAGCACGGGAATACCCAAAGGTAAGGAGGGAATTTTTGTATTTTATTACATTAAGGCATCAATCGACACATTAATAATCACGCCATGAAGATATTGATTCTGTAAAGTTAACATCCTTCATCATTATCACTTGCTTTCTTGCTAATTACTGTTGTTACAAAGGCGTTAGAGGAAGACATTTTTCCTTGACTCACTACTATCCATGGATGTCGCAAGAATTTAATCTCAGTGAAAATGATCGCTTTACCATGTTGTCTGGCATTGCACATGATCCAATTCAACGGGACAGTACGTATTATTAACATTACTGCTCAAATCACATCAGTTGCAGTAACACTTATCCATCATGCAATCTCATCCAAATAACAAGTCTTCACGCCGCTTTTCCTTGGGGCTGAACTTCACATTCCAACTAGCGAAGACATTGGAACACCCGGACAACTAGCAGTATGGATGAACAAAAACGAAGTTACTGTAACTCATCTAACACCTGGTATTTAGCGTTCCACACGATTCGCCTGTCCTGACTCTAAGTCGTCTCTACTCCTTCGTTCTGTAATGCTAATTCCTTTTTCACTCCACTTATTACAACTTCCAAAAAGCAATGGGTCAGCTCCTATCTGCAAACGCCACAGTCCCAATCCCAACCCTCCGCAACGCTTTCTTCGTTGGCGACATTCTCACAAAACGTGATTGCAACCGTTTGCAACATCTCGCTCCAAACACTACTATCATCAACATGTACGGCACAACCGAGACACAACGCTCGGTATCCTACTTCTCGATTCCGCCTCTCTCTGTCGCTCCTGCATTTTTACAGTCCCAAAAAGATGTCATACCGGCCGGTAAAGGGATGCAGAATGTGCAATTATTGGTGGTGAATAGAAAGAAGAAAGATTTACTGTGTGGAGTGGGTGAAATAGGCGAAATATATGTTCGAGCAGGTGGATTAGCTGAGGGTTATTTGAGATTAGACGATGTGACGAAAGAAAAGTTTTTATGGAATTGGTTTACGAGTGAAGAGCAAAGACATGAAGAAGACGGGGCGCCTATAAAGTGTTGGAAAGGGAAAAGAGATCGGATGTATCGAACTGGGGATTTAGGAAGATATAATCCTAGTGGAAACGGTAAGACTATAACGGTGCGATAAAATAATGTATCATGTTGGAGTTTTATTTCGCACAATTTCTAATGGACATACCGTTCGCACGTTCGTTCATATCAACCTTTTCCTAAAATTCTTCATCTCTGAAAGTGGAATGCACGGGCCGCGCCGACGATCAAATAAAAATTCGAGGTTTTCGTATCGAACTCGGTGAAATAGACACTCATCTTTCCCAACACCCCCTTGTCCGTGAGAATGTCACGCTTGTCCGCCGAGACAAAGATGAAGAACAAACTCTTGTCAGTTATTTCGTACCCGTTGAGTCAGGAGAGATTGACTCTTTATTAAGTTCAGCGGACGAGGAAGACGACGCACCAGATAATGTAAGAGGTATACAAAAATACAGGAGACTGATAAAAGATATTAGGGATTATTTAAAGCAAAAATTGCCTAGCTACAGTGTTCCCACTGGTAAGTGTTAGTCGTGACATTGCGTGGAACGTTATAAAAGCATCTTACAATTTTACATTCCAATATCATAGTGTTTGTGCCATTGCGCAAAATGCCACTAACTCCAAACGGGAAAATAGATAAACCAGCGCTTCCCTTTCCGGATACTGTTCAAATTGCCGAAAAGGCAATTTCCGACCACCAACATCCGCTTACGCCAATACAACGCACGGTTTGCAAAATCTGGATCCGTCTTCTCCCTCATGCTTCCTCGCAATCTCTTCCCCTCGATGAATCGTTTTTTGATTTGGGTGGGCATTCGATTCTGGCTACTAGACTAATATTTGAGTTGCGTAAGGAGTGTGGTGTTAGCATCCCTCTAGGACTAGTTTTTAATGAACCAACAATAAGAGGGCAGGCAAGAGAGGTTGAGAGACTGATTAAGGGAGAATTAAATATTGACAGTGGTGACGTGGAAGGGGATGAGTGCGTAAAGAAGAATATGGGAACTGATGCTGGGGAAGCTTATTCAACAGAAATTACAACCGGAGCCTTCGCAACGACCTATTTTGAAGATCTGACCGACCTCATAACCAGCCTTCCTTCATCCTATCCGCCTCTGCCTCCAACCCATACGCGCACCGTATTTTTCCTCACTGGAGTCACCGGATTTTTGGGTGCATTCATCCTTTCTGCTCTTCTCAATTCCCATCCTGACATACGTATCATCGCTCATGTGCGCGCTGCTGATGAGCGTTCTGGATTGGAACGGATTCGGAAAACCTGTTCTGCACATTTAGTTTGGAAGGAAGAGTGGGTCGAGAACGGAAAGATAGAAGTTGCATTAGGAGACTTGGAAAAGGAAAGATTGGGGCTGGAAGAAGATATATGGAAGAGATATTGCGAGATTGTGGATGTTGTTGTGCATAACGGAGCTTTGGTAAGAATTGAGGGTATTGGGTAACAGGAGGAATGTCTGTGTGTCTGCGGATGAGATGGTTCTAGTTGAGTTAAATTGTATTCAGTTGACACGAAGTACGCTCTTTTTAATATGAATCGAAATCTAGGTCCACTGGGTCTACCCATATTCCAAGCTTCGTTCTCCAAACGTCCTTGCCACTTTGTCAGCCTTATCTCTCTCCACTACTACGCGCATTAAACCGTTAGTCTTCATATCATCGACCTCTGTTCTGGACACAGAACACTACATTCGCTTGTCATCTACAGTAATCGAATCTGGTGGTCGCGGTATTTTGGAGGAGGATGATCTCGAGGGTAGTCGAACTAATATTAACAGTGGATATGGACAGAGTAAGTGGGTGGCTGAGAAGCTATTAATGGAAGCGAGAAGTCGTGGTGCCCCGGTGGCTATCGTGCGCCCTGGATATATTGTCGGTCATTCAAAGACGGGAGTAACTAATACTGACGATTTCATATGGCGATTGATCAAGGGATGTGTTCAGTTGAAAATGGTGCCAAGTATATATAATATCATTAATATGTGTCCCGTTGATTACGTCGCTGAGTGTGTAAAAGATATCGCGATCAGTCCTAATGCTCATAATTTGGGTGTATTCCATATTACACATCCATCTGATCCACCATTTCGCTTCATCGATTTGTTTTCTGCTCTTTCTCTCTACGGCTACGAAGTACAGCAAATCGAATATGTAGCATGGAGGGATCGCTTAATGGAATTTACTCTTCAAGCAGATGACAATGCACTGTATCCTCTGCTTCATTTTGTATTGGATGATCTACCAACTTCGACAAAGGCGCCCGAGTTAGACGACAGTAATACTCGGGTTGTGGCTAGTAAACAGTGCGCGAGGATGGGAGAAAGCTTGATGGGGTTGTATTTAGGATATTTGGTAGAAGTAGGATTTTTGGAGAGTCCCAAGTGGAGTGAAGGGAAGATGTTACCTAACGTAAAAGTAGGGGATATGTTGAGTAGAAGTAGGAAGTAGATTGATAAAGTAAGGATGAAAATATGTAATTATTCAACTGCTAGCTGGTAATAAATAAAAAAGGCACAACTATGGTTATTCGTCGATACTAATTACAAAGGGAATAATCTAATATTCGCTCTCCGCAGTAAATGAACAACGCTCTTGATTGGTTAAAGCGCAAATATAATTGCCCTAATGATACAACTGCACATTCCGTTACTTCCTCTATTCCAACTACCGCAAACTACACGATGTCGGGAAGACAAGGTATGTAGCATGCTATACCATCTTTAGAGTTCTAACAAATTTACATAATATTAATAAAGACGCTACATCTCATCTTTAGGCGGTAAGTTAAAACCTGTTAAAAAGCCAAAGAAACAAAACAAAGAGCTCGATGAGGTTAGGTTCTATGGTTTATTAATGAACTACCACCACATATAAAGCAGCACGAGAATTCTCCGTTAATACTCTAATACGGTTTTTCAACAAATAGACTGATTTAGAGTTTAAAAAAAAGAAAGCTGAGGAAGAAAAGAAAAAAAAGGAGCTTGCAGCGAAAGCAGCAGGAAAAGGGCCTCTTGGTTAGTATATACAAGATACTGACAGCAAATTTATTGCCTTTTCTCTCATTTTGCGAAATTAACCTTTATTCTACTATTATTAAGTTGGCGGTGGCATTAAGAAATCCGGAAAGAAATAGATGCTATAATAATGGCGTAGCGATTATTGTTATTTAATACGAGATTATCGACAAAGATAGAAACAATTTCACGCACGCAAAGACAATCAACGGCTCTCTTTGGAGAGATTCATACGAAAAACAATTTCGCTGCTATATCATAATGTCATGGTTTATATCGAAAAGAATGGCGAACTAAGTCTTTAGGATTTTTAATAAAGACCAAGTAAAAGGGATCTTAATAAGACATAATTTATATATAGTCTCTAGTATCAATTGCTTCGACTTTTCTCATACTGACAGTCAATGATGACTTTACATCAGTATGAATAAATTTGTCTTTCGCTTTATTATGATACTTTGAAGTACTAACTCGCTTAAATACATTCACAGCTCCACTAATACCAGTAAATATGTGGCTTGTATATTTGAAAAATGCGATTAAAATTGACTAATGCACTAGGCCCTGGAGCACATGTTACTTCCGCTCAGCCATTCCTTAATAATGAGTATATACGAACATCGCTATTGATTAGAATCAAGTTTCACGCACATTAGAAGTGTGCACTTATGGGTAATTAATTACTCGTTCCTCATAAATTGGTGTTTATTTAAGTAGAATATGAAAAATCAGTATTCACATTGTTTTCTATTTTGGATATTATACAAGAAACACGAGTTCGGCATTTCAGCTCATATAGACACGTACATCGTATATGAACTGAAACGAAACTCAAAATCAAATACAATGTTATTCACACTATATATAATACCAGTCTCATGAAATAGATCAAATAGTATATTTCAGAAACTGGATAGCATTTTCTTTTCGGTTACTTCCTGCTAAATACTCCTCTGCCACTCGTCTCTGTACTGGATTAAAAGAAGTCCATCCCTCAACATACAGAGTCTCTAAACTCTTTGGTGCTTCCTTGAGAAACACTTGCATTGCTTTAATACCTATACATATACACAAATTTAAATGTTTCAATGTCTTTGGTAGCAGTGCACCTAGCTCAGTTGTAAAGTCGTGATTGCTGCATCGTTTACTACGGTCTGGAGCGAACAGACTTAGACTCGTTAGACGACAGGATGAATAACGCAGTAATTGATACAGATACGGAAGTTGATTCTTGGTCATTGGAGCAGCAAGCACAAGAATATTTGGACAGTATCGTACAACAGTACCAAAAACACTTGGCTCATTCGTTTCAATAACTGAACCCGCCTTTGGTTTGAATAATATTTCCTCTAAAGTATTCGCATTTGTTATAATTAATGATATCATCAACTCTTCCCACGCAACAGTGGACTCAACAAAGTGTAGTTTCTTCAAATAAGGAAAGACTGCTCCATGCAAGGGCAGCAAGTGATCTCTCTTGGCATCCGTGCAGAATCGTATGCATAACTCTTCTAAACATACACAGTCAGCTAATCCTTCCAACGACGGCCCTTTCTTTTCATCGGAAATAAAATTTATATGAATAATCTCCACTGATTTCAACGTCTTTGCCTGACTCCTCAATGACCACGGAATCATTGTTGGATGTGTCCCATATCCAAACAATTTGAATCTAGTCAATCTATTTTGGCATTCAATAAACTTGGCGAGGCTAACTTCTTCATTATGTAGTGAAGGAGATGACAATGAATAATCAAGAATCTCAAGATCCTGGATATTTACCGCATAACTGGCCAAGTGCGAGAATATTGACCATTCGTTAATGTGGTGTATGGAAAGTTTACGAAGACGCGTAAGGTTGGGCGTTAATCCGCCAGCATATAGCCAAGATGGATATCCACGGCCCCAATCAAGGGAAAGCGATAAAATGTTCGCTCGATCGCTTAGAAAGAGTTTGCATAACATTTGACCAAGGTTAAGAGCAAGTGTGTATGTGGAGTACGTATTGCGGCTGTGTCTGCGAGATCTTTAACGGGTAAATAGAAAAAACACTAGTCAGACGCTAAATAACGTTACTACGATCCGGATCTTTAATTATTTACCTTCTAATTTGCGTTCGATCTGTCCAAGCTCTTACAACGGTATACAAGTCAGCCATACTCAAGAATCTCAAATACTGTGCATAATTAATACACGATGACCTTCCCTTGTAGTTTCTCAGTCGTATCCCACATTCCTCTAATGCATCCCTTTCCTCGTTAGACAAACATCCAATATAATTGTCAACTACAGATACACAAATCGGTTCTCCTCCTCTAAATGGCTCTCTCCAGAAGATGGGTAAAGCATGTTCACACCATGATTTATTTACCAATATACAAGTATTGAGTGTCTTTAGATTCTTTTCTACCATCATTGAGAATATATAATAAAGAATGTCAGAAGGTAATGGTGGCGGTGGGTTGGAACTTGCTATTAATCGAGTGGTAGATTGATAGCACCCCGAAGCGGGACGAGAAGGTGCAAGTACACATGTTTGACGACCGAATGCTTTGTTGTAAAGTGACTTCAAATTTAGAATTCGCGGTTTGAATTTGTGCTTCTTTGAAGATTTGTTGTGTTCGTTCCTAAATAGTGGCATGAGGGGTTGTTTCCGTAACAAGAGAATGCAAATAGGACTGGTTTATTTACCTGGCTCCCTCTGTCACGGTAGTAGTAGCAATGGTAAACCGACGTTTTATATTTCCCCTGCTTCTTGTCCTTCCTTCGGTGCAATTTAGTGGGTTTCCTAATTGGTCGGATGCAATTAACGACAACAGACAGAGTTGCATTATCGCGCATGCTTTATGAAGAGTGTCAATTCGTGATTGGCAATTTTTAGACAATGTTAACTACTACAACCAATACGTTTGGTTGCAATAGAAGTAGATACAACAGTCATGATGTTGATGGAGAAGAGAATATGGAAGTCGGAGAGCAAGGAAAAAGTTCCAAATGATATCGCTTCCTGAATTTAGATTAGAATAAAGTACACTTTTATATCCCTCATGACTTCATTATTATTATGGTACAATTCAATAAATTCCCCGTAATACAAAATAATAAGCAATTGGCGGACAAAGTCATCGTTAGACCAATCGGGATACTACAAGTCTTTGTTCGATGTTCTATCAATCGTATTTTAATATTATAATGTAGATGCTCACGTTAAGCTTATTCTTTCCTGCAACATACCTTACCTTGCTTGAATGTCCGCTTTGGGTCAATCACCCGTTAATTATTTTTTTTATTTCCGTGTCGTAATCTTTTTTATTGTTGTCCATATATATCGAGATAAGCCCACTCTTCTTTGGTGGCAGCAAGCTATTGCTATTATTGTTGAAATAACCCACAGCATGCTGAGCGGTGTGCCAAGGGTTTACAATCACCATTCTTTGACACTCGTCAATTTTCAAACTTGTTATATGTTAATTTTATTAAAGAGACGCGGTGTTTGAAACAATCATTAAGTATTTAATGCCAATATTTCAGGATCAATCGGTATGCGCAGACCGCGTTAAAAATTATATGTTAATTTCCTTATTCCTACAGCAGTAGTTCCGGTACCAAGACAATCGTTACTTTTCCAAAGCCCGTTAGGCATAGCAGATGGCTAATACTAAAACACTTATCTTACTGTTCTTTAAAATGTCAATTTGTTGTTTACTTTAAAGATAATGATGCTCTTGTTATAGAACGCATTATCACGTTAGTTGTCTTTTGTGAGCTGCACAAGTCATGTCTATGGGATATTTTGGAAAGACGTGTTTGCGCAAAAAGCCCTCAGCCAGAAAATAGAAGAAGAGCATTTGAACATTTGTTAAATTTTTAAATAGCATTGACCGTTGTCCCGCAAATATCAACAAAGTATAAGAATTTAGATTGGACTTCCGTCGCAACAGTACTTTATAGCAAGTTACTGCAAAGCTCAGGAAAGAGATAACCAATAAAGGACTCGAAAACTCAGAAAAGAGATAATACGCTTTTTAATACAGTCTTTCTCCGCTGTGTGTTTGCTATAGGGAAAATTTTTGCTTGATCAATATGTGTATTTTGTGACTTATTTCAATTTAGAACATCTGAAATAACAAAACGTGGGAGGAATTTGTTGTTTGACGTATAATTTTATACAATAAACTCAGTAATATGTTATATTGAGGCAGAATATACAAGTTGCTCTGGTCAATTTACAAATTATGGACAGGACAGCTAATACTCGGGCTGAGCCCAGTTAAAAGTAGCAGAAAACGCAATCACAGAAAATTTGGCTGGCTGAATAGTAACAACATGGTTGAATGGTAATATGAGCTCGTTTCAAAACTAAAGAATGACTACATACAATGAGTAAACGGTTATTGATAATTCTTGGGCCTTAGCCTAGAGATCTTGTCATATCGCACACGACGATATAACTTCATGAATATGGGAGCAATTTGCAAGTGCTTTCGTTAAGATGCTGTTGCTACCATTTCGAAAGCTCGCAAAAAATAAATCAACCCATTTACATAACTAATACACGTAAATTGCCAATATTCGTTATTATTGTTATTGTTATTTTTTAAACACAAATCTGATATTTTAATAGAGCTTGTAATATAGTAATAGTAATGGAATCCATTTTTATAACGCGCTATGGTTGAGGGAATGATTTTAGATGCATTGTGCAACAAACTGAGCATATTTATTTGTAGGTTGCGCAAACCAAAACTTTTTCATCTACCGATAATCATTCCACTTCCAATATGAAATATCGTTCAACGAGAGGCTTCCCGACGTCTATATCATTTTCGGAAGCTGTCCAACTTGGCCTATCTCCAGATGGCGGTCTCTTTATACCAAATAGCATTCCCACCCTTCCGTTTAACTGGCCTTCTACTTTCTTCGATCTCTCTTTTAATTCACTCGCTCTAGAAATATTTTCTCTATATGTGCCAGAATCTGAAATACCACGTTCCGATTTGGAGGTCTTGATAGACAGATCATATTCTACTTTCAGGCATCCTAGCGTAGCTCCACTGACGAAAATCAAAGATAATCTATACGTTTTGGAATTGTTCCATGGACCTACGTTCGCGTTTAAAGACGTGGCATTACAGTTTTTGGGCAACTTGTTTGAATACTTGTTAGAGAAAAAAAATAAAAAGGAAGGGAAAGAGGAAAGAATAACTGTTCTGGGAGCCACAAGCGGCGACACTGGAAGGTATACCTACAAAGCGCAGATGTGTTGATTTGATCGTATCGAACCGGTGCATTAAATAGCACAATTTCGTATGTAATACTAAACACTTAGTGCCGCTATTTACGGATTGAAAGGCAAAAAAAACATTTCAGTATTTATACTACATCCATTTGGGAGAGTATCACCCATTCAAGAGGCACAAATGACAACAGTATTAGATAGTAATATCCATAATCTGGCAGTAAAAGGAACATTTGACGATTGTCAGGTATGTAATTCTGTTCTTGAATCTTCACCATAGTCTGGTTTTTATTCGTAACCATCCGACATTCTCGCACAGGACACGGTAAAAGCACTCTTTGGGGACACAGAATTCAACAGCAAATACCATCTGGGCGCAGTGAATTCCATAAATTGGGCTCGTATTCTCGCCCAAATTACCTATTATTTTCACTCATACTTCCAACTTCTCCGCTCTCTCAATTTATCCCCTGAAGCACAGATCAAAATCCAATACTGTGTACCAACTGGGAATTTCGGTGATATTCTTGCCGGATACTATGCAAAACGCATGGGCTTGCCGATCTCGTCGTTGTTATTAGCTACCAACTCTAATGATATTTTGCATCGATTTTTCTCAACCGGTCAATACGAGAAAGTACTTGTTGGCAGTGACGCGAACGCAAACACATATGTATATGAGACTTTGAGTCCGGCTATGGACATTGTAGTATCGAGTAACTTTGAAAGATTGTTATGGTATTTGGCGTATGAGAAGACTGGTAAAGAAGATGAAGCGAGTATCACAGTGAAAAATTGGATGCAAGATGTGAAGGACAACAAGGGTCTGACTGTGGATGAAGAAATATTAAATATGGCGAGCAGAGATTTTACGAGTTGTTGTACCAATGATGATGAAGTCAGTTGAGGCCGGGAGATAGAGATGGAATGGGAAAAAGTTCACAAAACTGATATTTTGTTATTGATTGCCTTTAGACACTTGATGTCATATCCAGATATTATTCGCCTGAATCATCGGATCAGGTGTCTCACATTTTTGATCCTCATACAGCTGTCGGTATTGCAGCCGCCGAGAAAAAGCAGAATGAAGGGTAAGAATCCCGGTATAGCAAAAACTCGTTATGATACTCTTTCAATACGAGCATCTAATTGTAGGATCTACGATTTGATTTCAGAGTAATACAAATCTGTTTGGCAACGGCACACCCGGCTAAATTCTCGAAAGCAGTAGAGACAGCTCTTAAAAATGCACCTCACTTCAACTTTGACGAGATTCTTCCACCAGAATTTGTCGGTTTATTAGAGAAAAAGAGGAGAGTTGTTCGTGTAGAGGGAGCTGATCCTGGGCTGGTCAAAGAGGTTATTGAGAGAGAAATAAGGACAGAGATGAGTTAAACGAGTGTGGGTCTAACCATAGCATGGGTTGGCAAGACAGACTCGAAAGATTTGATCAGAAACAGTGTATTTATAATTTTATTTTAATGATACAACTTTACAATTCGTCAATAAATAATGATCAACTATCCCAATGCTGTGAATGAGCAAACTTGACCGCTTCTTCCACTCCAAGTTTCACTGCACGCATTATTAGCTCCTTTGCGCGCGTTTCGTTCTTCCTCAACTTTATACCCTTCATATAACAAATACCTAAATGGTACATACCATGCGGTATTTCCATTTCAACTGCTTTCTTGAAATATTCCACAGCCTTCACTCTATCTTTCGCCGGCATCCCTTCTCCGGTAAGATACATATAGCCTAGCATATCAATAGCATCTCCATTCCCGTCGTCTCCTTGTGCAGCTCTTTCTAAATATTCTTTAGCTCTATCACGATCAATTTTTACATGTTTACCAAAGAAATAGTAGGACCCAATGCGAAACATGGCTTCACGAGATTCGTTAGCAATTGACATGTATAAACCAAACGACTCTTCATATTGTTGTGCCGCGTGGTACGCATTTGCCCTAGTCAATATTTCTTTCACGGAAGCAACTGCTTCTTCCTCTTCCTCTTCTGCTTCAATATTAGAAATAGAAAGAGTAGGAAGCCGGGATAGAAGGCTGCCCTCCGAACTATTTGGAACAGCACCCGCGGTACTATCCAAATCCTCTGGACGAATGTCCTCTAAATGCTCTATTATTTGCTTCGCCTTGAATCGGCATCTGGGTGTAGTCTCCGTACACTTTACGTAAATAACAGACACCACGCTTGGCGTAGATGATGGCAGCTCTAATGTCTTTCCTCCTCTTCTCGCTGTGTACACATCATCTAAACTATACCCAGCCCATGGATATGTTTCGGTTATTATCTCGTATAGGACGATACCGAATGAGAATACGTCGCATGCTTTTGAAAATTTAACAGCATCATCTTGTAAACGCTCTGGCGCATCCCACCGCATCTGCTCCTCGAATGTGTTGATTTGGAATTGAGTAGTCGCTTCATCTAAACGAGCTTTACGGAAGTTGGTGATCTTTGGTTCGCAAAATTTGTCCAATAAGACGTTTTCGCTGCAAATGCTTTTATGGACGATGCCTGCTTCATGCAAATATGCTATGCCTTATTTATAGGGATAAAAGAGAAGGTAAATCAGGTCTCGATAATTGATGTCTGTTTTAACGAGTGACATGGTAATCTTATAATATCAAGCTGGCGCCTCAACATTCATGTTAAAGGTATATAAATAATAAATCATTTCTAAACTAGTCAATCGAACATTCCCATCTTAACCTATTCCCAAACTAGGCTACGTAGAATTAACCTTACTTGCCTTGAATAATGCCTAACGCAATAGCACGTTTCAGTCCCCAATCAGCGTGCAACTTCTGGTTAGCGATAAATGTCTTTAGATCTCCATTAGCACAATATTCGAGCACGAGTCCCATGTATCCGCCGCGCAACGCCGTGATTCCAATGAGATTAATAATGTTTGAAGATGGTGCTAATCTCTGCAAGTAAAATACCTCCTGAGCGAGTCGCCTTTTGTGATCAATGTTGTTTTCTCTAGCCTGAGTGACTTTAATAAGTACTTCAATATTTTTAACATTTCTCTCTTCGTCTGCAGTATTGTAAATAGCGAGATGCATTCGGTCAGTCTTGAATTTTTTCACGTCTGTAAAATGAGAGTATGGTATTCGTACATCGTCAAGTAAAGTCTCGGAAACAGTAGTTTGGGAACTCTCGTTTCGTTTCAATTCTGCCAAAGCTTCTTTGACTGAATGATTTATCTCCTCGAATGCCTTTCTATCTGCCTCTCTCCATGAGTTCTGCCTTGCAACTATTTCTTTATTATCAACATAATGACGAACATTTATTGCAAAGTTTAACCGTTGACATGCTTGATCAAGTCGCTCTTCCATGCTTAAAAATTCACCGGCAAACTTTTTTGCATAAAATATCTTCAGTCCATATCTTCCTACTGCATGTTGTTTAATAACGGATCGTGCATCTTCAAGTACAATCGCAAATGATTTCAATGCGCTGATGAAACTTTTGTCTTCGATCTCTTTAGGCTTCTGGTCTAATTGTTCCAACAGATCTCTCGCCGATTCACTAGAAATCTTTATCTGTTCGGCCAGACGTCTGCATTCAGATTTACAATGCTTTGCAGCAAAAGCATAACTGACTATGTCGTCGACAAGGAAAGCAATGTTACCAGTAAGCACAGCGATAGCAGTATGATTGATTATCTTTCCAACTTCTAATGCGACCTCTATGTATTTAGGCAGATTTGTATACGATTCTTGAATGCCTGATATACCAATATCAACAGACATCGCACCCGCCTCGAGTATGTTCGAGTTCATATTCGTCACAAGATTTGGGTTCATCATATTGGGCTAGTAAAAAGTTTAATATTTCGCAGGTTAAAAGGAAAAACTAACTTTCGTTCGTTAGGAATTTGCTTCCGGTAATTTTAGCTTATATAAATACTAATCAAGTTTCGAGGAACAAAAGATGGACACGAATTGACATTGTTATCAACTCTCGTGCCCACACATCTGGTTTTCTATTGGTCATAACAAATGAAAATTTTCCCCGCGCAGCTGATAGCTCAGAATCCTTCGTATTTATGTAATTCCGAAAACTTGCTCTTCCTAATTCTGTCGAGAGAAAGACTGTTGATGTGTTAGACATAATATCGCATTTATTCTGGTTTTTTTATTTAAAAAAGAAAAACAAAAATCATAAATAAGATATTTTCATAGTCACAAGCGTGGGATATGATACCAAATACCTGGGAGAACAATAAACTCTTATTTTTAGATTGACACCTTCTTAACGCCCCTAATATCTATGTATTAGTGTACTCGATGTTTCGAAAGTTGATATATATAAAAAGCGGGTCAATGAAGATAAATCCACTGAAAACCCATCCAGCAAAAAAGTCAAGAAACAGATTAAGGAAGAGGACTCGATCGTATTAAAAAAACATATCCGCGAATTGAGTACTGATGTCCCGAAGGGAAGCTCTCCAAAGAGAATCTGTACAAGGAAGTTCCATTTTAAAATTTCCAATGCGGAAAAACAAAATGAAGATGCACGTCACCAACTACTAATAAGCTACTATTACTTTGGAGAAACTAGAAAAATGTCTTATCCAGTATAAACAAGGAACACGAGGCCCAGAAGAAGGTTAATAATAAAGTTAAAGATCAACTCCCGAAGACAAACCTACAATCCGAAAGAAAACAGATTATGACATTTTTTTCGTACTAGCGATGACAAAAATCAACGGATCATATATATACCCAACGAATAAAAACATTTACCGCAGTATCCATTTCGAAGTTTAAGATAAAGTATGTAGCATCCCACCCAGGTTAGGAACGTAAATTGCGTATTAGTCCTGTTTTAGAATAGAAAAAAATTATGTATTTCCGAGTTAACTCGCACTTATTTTGCGTGAATGTATGCTATGTTGAAATAAAAAATTACATATTACATTAGCCGTACCAACTCCTAAGATAACATTTGAATAGAAATCGTCTTTACTACGTCATATAGTTTAGCATTTTTTCCGAGCAACCCGCGATAATAAAATTAAAACGTAAATTTTCTTCGAATATGTAACCATATATGCCTACATTAAATCTATCATTACTAATAAAACTCCACATTAATATTAAGCAAGTCTAATTAGGAATAACAAGTCCTGTCAGAGAATAGGCTTCCGCATCAGCCTAAGCTGACTCCTTTTTTGTAAGATATCGAAGAAAATATTGCGAGCACCATTAATATCTCTATCAAGGTTTGTTTTACATTGGGGACAGCAAAACACTTTAGATCCACCTAGATTTTTATGAATATAACCACAGGATCCACAAGTTTTACTTGTTGTATTCTTCTGTACAAATTACTACGGATGCTCACGTGCCTTATGGGTCAATGCTATGTGACCATGTACACATGGCTCGAGCAGTCTTGGAATCAATGCGTCGTTGTCCACGTCGGACCATTCCTTGAGTACGAAATCGTAGTAATCTTATACGATAGTTTTCGCAAAGCCATTTAGCTAGTTTATAATGACAATCATTCACAAGACAACGGATCCTCTTGTGAATGCGGAACATAACACTACGTAATCTACAATTGAAAGTAGTATATATGCTAAATTATAAATAATAATAAATATTAAATAAATAAATAATTTATTTAATAAATTTTACCTGTAACGTTTTCGCTTATTTTTTTTCTCCCATGAATACAATCGCGTTTACTTTGAAGCTTGTCGCATGCATGACTTAATCGATAAATTCGGCCAATATCATTTTTTACCCCATTCAACAGCTACTCCACTTGGATCATAACCTGTCATGAATGTACGTACACCTGAATCACTCCTGATCCCTCCTATTAATTATTAAATATATAATTAATTAAAGTTTAATTTAATAGATAATATAATAAAATAAAAAAATTAGATCAAAACCTTTTGAGATATAGGGCCTTGGTTTTCAGCCCGTATTTCAAGTGGTCTGGGTATACAAGATAGTATTCCCCAAGTCGATTCATAACAAGGCGGCTATCATATTCAAGCTTATATGGGAGAGGCTCTGCTGACTTGATTTTAGAAAGAAGGAAATTTCGCCACGAGACCTGCCCCAGTGTTTAGAAAGTATCGTAATTAATTGTTGAGGATCCTTTTTGGAACGGAGCTTCATCTTGAATTCTTTGCGATTGGCAGCAAAATTGGAAGAATATCCTTTAAGCAAATCGTTCATGCTTCATCACGAATGTCATAGGGAGTTTCAAGGACCCATTTAAGTTTAGAAGTTTTTGGCGTTGAGACATAGTGCGCATAGATCCTTCTTTTCTGTGAAATGTCTCTCTAAACATATTATATATTACTTACCCATAACTCCACCTCAACCAAAAACGCGCAACACAAAAATGGTTATTGATTACCTCATATATTACCCATATATTGTTTAAAGGATTTAATTTCGATCGTGAAGAATCTTCATGGTTTTTATTATGTGAATCGGATGACAGCGACTTACCCACCGCGACCCAAAAACCCTCTTTGTATAGAATATCTAGCAATACCATGTCATCTTAAATTGAACGACACAAAAATGGTTATTATTGTTAACTAACTTACCTTACCCATATATCGGATTTCCGAGACCACGAGTCCCACAAATTTCTGAATTATTCCGTGTTCTGTTTTGAATGTAGATCATATAATTGTTATATCACACCAGACAAAGTGAACTTAGTGTCTTTATAATGAAGTGTTAGTCTATTGCGGAGTACAAGCCCAAAAAATAATCACTACAACTGTGCTAACCTACACATTGTACAGCCGGCAAATGCCTTTTACAACCTCTATTCCTCATCGTATACATATAGCTTATCCAGCAAATGAGGTACAGCAATCGCAGAAAATTTCTTAGTCCAATTTGTGGCAGGAAATACCGGTCGAAAGTTTGACAAAGCCATCACTCCTCTTCTGATTTCGATTTTGAAGAAACTCAAAACGTGCAATGCTCTTAACAATGTTATGCTGTAATACATGTGAGTATATGCCAGAATATTGTATTGCCCAATGAAAACATGACTTACTCTCAGTAAACCAAGGGTCTTGATGCATAGATCCACAGCTTTCAGATTGTCTACGGATGTTGGAAAGTTGAATCTTGCTACCTCTTGAACAATGAATCTTGACTCGCATCCGATGAAGCATCTGATTATTGCACATTGGTCCCCTAACATAATAATAATAGAATGTATGGAAAACCAACAGTTGCAATCCCGGCCATGTCAGATGATTATAACCAATTTCTCACCTACGACTTGGGCCCCCCACAGCTCCAACCCTTCAGCATCTTCAACCGTCACAGCGCCAATCTTCTTGAGAATCTTTTGGAAAAGGAACAGGAAGCACCAAATAATTTTGTCATAATCATTCTTAACCTTGGTGGCAGATGCTTCTTTCGGACCTCCGCTCACTTCCAAGATGAAAAAGATCGATTTTCCAGCTCGAAATGTTAGGACTCCATCTGAGTACTTCTTGAGAGGATTTGCATCCTGTTGAGCCCAGATCTTTTCATTGGTTCCCAAAGGCAACCCTGGATGCTTGCCAATGCATCTGCAAAGCATTTTTCAACCATTAGAACCGTCCATTGGCGTTCCTTGAGTTCCGCGAAGTTGTTAACTGCCTCATACCGTTCTCCCGAACTCATGGATCAAGTCAATATCAGGATGCTCCATATGGTTAAAGTCACTAATACGATTTCTGTACGGAAAGTTTTCCTCGATGGCAACTTTAAAATCTGATAGCTTTCCCGCGACACCCTCCAGAGAACAAAGATATTTCCGTGCCTCCTCACCGAAAAATTCTGACTCTGATGCTGGTATCAAGAGGCGACGAAATTCTTCTAGTTCTTCCTCTAGAAAAGCTGCTTTAATCGACTGTGTGGCTTCAGGTAAGAACATTGGTAAAATCATACAATCCAGGTACCTAATCATAAATATCATAATAAGCCTATGATAATCAGATTTTGAGATTCCTAATGGAAAGTGACCTACCTGCGAACATTTGCTGTCTTTATTAGAACATGAATGTTCTTAATTCTGATTCTAACGCGTTCTTTCAAAGGAAGAGAACCTAAATTGGCACTTTTTTCCTTTGCTTTATCGTCGTTTTCTCTGCTATCGTTGCTTTTGAAATCGGGTTCATCTTCATCTTCATCTTCACCATTATTGGTATTTTCATCTTGACCTTCGCTATCACAATCAAAACTATTTTGGCTGTTCTCGATTCTGTGGTTCGGCCAAAACGGGTTGTCATCAACTGCCGGAATGATCTTTTTGATCACTGAATTGTTCAAGACGACTACTGAATGGTTTAAGTTTTTAGCAACTTGGGCAGTGGCCAGTCTGCACGACGTTTGGTGCTCCTCCTACAGGCAATTTATATAGATACTAAGTAAATAGATAAGGACAATTTTTTGTGGGAAGAATTCTTTCTTGAAAATATACCATTGCTTCTTCCTCCTCCCTTTTCCTCTTAAGCTTCCTTTCCTTCGACTCTCTACTCGCCTTTTCAGTTCTGACGGCAGTTTCGAAATTTTTTCCCTCTCGACTTAACCTTATTAGAAATATCGCAGCGTTAGAAAGAAATCACTGATAATATAAATTGCACATCTATTACTTACTGAAATCCATTCGCACAAGTTCTTGGCATATTTCCTAACTCCTTGAGGGATCTCCGAGTGCTTTCCGAGTCAGTCAAATGAATTTTTATAGGTATCAAGGGCTTCCGGCCATTTGAGTTGACTGTCCTTCAAGCTGGTGATAAATGCGTGGAATTTGTGCCAATTGCTGAGTTCCGTTGTCTTAATCCAAAGTGGAATCATCGTTACAGTTCTGGGCACCTTGAAGTTGTGCAGATTTTCAGGGCACTCTAGTTTTACCATGATTATGATGGCAACTGTTGATAAGAGGTGCTCGCGGCGCGTGACGTCACTAGCATTCCGATCGCCATCGGTGTGGATTTTACTGACAAAGTGATGGCGAAAAAAATGTGCGGGCATGTGATCATCGGGCTAGCGATTAGCTCGGAAATCAGGTGAGTTATACCCCTGACATCAGATCACGGCAATTATTTGATTTACTACACATAAGGTAATTGTTGTGGTGTTACAAAATATGAACAATTCCTTTTCTTGGTATTAGCATTAATAATTAATATACTTATGTAATATATACTGTATATCGATTATTACACTTTCGTTATTCTCAGTACTTTGTGCAAATTACCTGAAAGAAAAATAATTATCGTTACCCATATCCTATGTTGATAACAAATGTTACATAAACAAGGAAATTTGCTTATTAGCCTTTGTAACTATGACCGGATTTAAGGGTAAATCAAATACAACGTCTCATCAAAAAAGAATTTATTGCTATAATGCCAATATTCGTTGTTACCGATACTACAAAGATCTGCAAAACAAAGAATTTCTCATGTTAAATGTTGTATTAAAGAAACATTCTTATTAATGAAACATTAAAATTAACATGACAACGAAGAAATGTTTGTGTTAAATTTACTTGTCTCATAATCTTTGTAATTAAGTGCGAGACAAAGATCTATCTTCGTAACTTTTACAACAAAAGTAAATGCGGTGAAGCTTATATAAAGGGGATGAGGAATTAATCTCAAAAAAAAAGAAAACCAACAAACTAAAAGCAGCAATCGTACTGATAAATACAATTTCTACAAATATATTCTACGCAAATTTACCCTTACAGAAACCAAATTTGTGCCTTACAGTCTTATATTATCATTAACTATGTCAGCTCAAGATAATACTCAAGGTACATTATTTTATGTCGTTCATATCAAAATGTAAATATTACTGTCTTGATAAATGTCTCGAACTTTTATTATTATTTATTACGTTTATTTAGCTATTGGCGATATGACATCTGATGCGACCAAGTATTGCAAACGTTGTAAAACCTCCAGAAGAATTAGTGATTTTGTTAGAAAATGGGGTCAGCAGACGAAAGAGTTTTCCGTGTGTAATATTTGCTCATTGAATGTGAAGAAAAACCGATCGGGATCGAGCTCTATTACTATCGAGCAAAATACAGTTACAAGTATAAACGCGAGGTTAGACCAGCTATGCAACGGTATCCATGTAAAGGCAGTATAATAATGAAAATCGATCTATCCCAAAAAATGACTAGAATCTCATTCAATCATCAAAGCAGCCACCCAAAGCCAATTTATAGAGACATTAACATTTCCCACGCAGCTATAAATTGGATAAAAAATAATATTAATTATGGCGGTATACGTAAGGTTGAATTCTATAAGAGACTATCTAATGATGGATTGATTGACCCGAAAATACATACATACCAACAAGTGTACTATTGGGTGGCAAAATTATCGAAAACCCAATTTGTTACTGATACTAGAAATCAGCTCAAGTCATCTAAAAATTTTCTTGAGCATAGTATACAAGCGGATGATGGTTACAAAGTGATTTATTATCTCGAAAACGATTTTGTAAGGGCTCTAGGGTTTGTTACACCCTTTTTACAACATATTAAGCAGAGTAATATGACCGAGATAATTGTCGACTCAACTTTTAAGACAAATCAAGAACGCTTTGAACTTTTCGCTGTAATAATCAATAATGGCGGATATGGCGTAGCATTGGCGTATCTGTACTTGGACACGTTTGTTCCTTTAGAAGACTTGCCAAACGATCATAGTGATAACAGGATCCAAAATCGTGAGAGTGTGCTTCGCGAATTCTTTTCAGCTTTACGGAATGAGAACGTATTTCCAACATTTGTCTTGGTTGATAAGGATATCGGTCAGATTAATGCAGTGGAAGCAGCATGGGATGAAAAAGCAATTGTGCAAATCTGTCTCTGGCATGTGGAACATGCAATAGAAAGAAAAATGCGAGAGACAAAAGAAAGAAATAGCCAATACACCATAAATGTAGCACAGGCGGCTAACAGCCGATTTGACTTCATCGATTCAGAATGGCTACCAAGTAATAATGCAACCACAATTTGTCCGGAAGAACATAAAAAGGGTGTGTTACTGATGATAAAAAAGCACGCGCTTGCACATTCATTGATACCAATCAGTAAAGATACATTTCTGACGAAAGAGCAGATATATTATCAAAGTGTACGGGAAGCGTATCAGTTTTGTCAATCAAAAGATTTAATACATTTGTGGGGATACCTATGGTGTAATTGGTATCAAAAGAAACATTGGGATCGCTTTGCTCGCGCATCATATCCATTGGCTCTTCCACTTGCTCGCACAACAATGATAGTCGAGTCACACTGGAGAGTACTGAAATACGATTACAAATACAGATACAATCGGCCGCGACTTGACCAATTAACACAAATTATCACCAAACAGTTAGTTACTGACCAAATAAATTTGTGGAAAAGATATTGTAACAATCGTGAATTTCCCTCATGGTGGCACTCTTTCAAACGGGAATGGACTGACGCAAAAGAAAAAAATGTGGATGATACGGATCAATATCACACTGACATAGAGTCATGGGTTTGTTCATGTCCAGCGTATTTAAGCCATCCCTATCTGATTTGTAAACATCTGGTAGCAATGAAAACGAGACTTAATCCTGGGTTTATGCCCCTTTTCAAGGACATTATGCGGCGGCATGATTATCCATTTATTGATTTTTATCAAGAACAAAACATGTGTATTCAATCGGATAATACACCTTGGAACAGCATTCAGGAAAATGATCATCAATCAATAAATGAGCCATTTGGAAGTAGCGAATACGTTAGAAATAAGTACTGCTGATCGGCAGTCTATTATTAGGGAAAGACAAGTAGCGCTAGCAAGACTCAAATCATCCATAATTCATGGGTTTGATCTAGCCG